GGTACGTGACACTCCGCTCCCCTAATACTATGTGTCGGAACGTGACACTCCGATCTCCTAGTTCTACTATGTGTCGGAACATGACACTCCGATCCCCTAATTCTACGTGTCGGTTCGTGACACCCGATCCCCTAATTCTATGTGTCGATTCGTGACACCCGCTCCACTAATCTCATTCTATGAAATCATCAAGCCTTCTTTTATACCAATGCATCATCAATCTCTTTAGTTCATCAAGCCTTCTCTTATACTAAGGCATCATCAATCTCATTACTTTAGTTCATCAAGCCTTCTTTTATACCAAGGCATCATCAATCTCATTACTTTAGTTCATCAAGCCTTCTTTTATACCAAGGCATCATCATTAACAAGGTACATTTAGGATTAGAGATTCAATAGACTCATCATGCTTATTCATCACAATTATATCATCACATCATGTAAGCACACAATTAAGCATATAGAAGGTTTTATAATACTACCCAACACATATCATTCGCTATTAAGAGTTTACTACGAATAGCATAAAAACCATAACCTACCTCCACCGAAGATTCGTGATCAAGCAAGCAATTTCCCATAGCTTTGTTTCCTCTTCGTTTCCCTCTTCTCTCGATCGTTCTCTTTCCCTCTCCTTGTTCTTTCTATTTTTCTTATTCAAACTCTCTTTCTTTTACCCTAATTAGCATATAATTAAGTATAAAAGATGATGAATTAACCCATTTATTAATTCATGATTATCTCCTTTAACTCTCAAGTAGTTAAATTATTAACATTAGCCCACTAAATTTATAATTATAGCAGGAATAGTCCAAAACATCCCTTAAAACATTTAAAGAAATCCGACCCAGCCTGGGATTACGCAACCTGTGCCGGTCCGTCATGGCTGTGATGGTCCATCCTGCAGGTCCGTAGCAAAGTTCAGAGAGTTAATTTTTGTGGAAAATGTGTGACGGTCCGTCGTGTCCACGACGGTCCGTCCTGCCATTCCGTCACGAAGTTCAGAGAGTTGATTTCAGTACCCAAATTTCAGAATTCTAAGTGTTTTGGAACGAGACCCCCTCGACGGTCCGTCGTGCCCATGACAGTCCGTCGTGGGTTCCGTCGACTCAGACAGTTTTTCCAGAAATAAAATCTGCTGCTCAAAACGACTAAACAGGTTGTTACAATAGATACCAATTTACCCATCGTTCGTCCTCGAACGATCACAAGAAGAAAAACGAGGGCGAAAAGGAGTACCTGAATCTGTAAACAGGTGTGGGTATTTTTCTTGCATATCTGCCTCCTTCACCCAAGTGGCTTCTTCGACTAGTCGATTCTACCATTGAACTTTGATGGATGCAATCTCCCTTGATCTCAACTTGCGAATTTCTCTATCTAGAATGGAATCAGGTTCCTCCTCATAAGACAAATTCTCATCAAGCAAAACTGAATCCCAACGGATAATGTAGTTTCCATCCCCATGGTATCTTTTCAACATAGACACATGAAACACCGGATGCACTCCTGACAGTCCTGGAGGCAAGGCTAATTCATAAGCCACCTCCCCTACTCGCTTAAGTACTTCAAATGGCCCAATATACCTTGGGCTTAGCTTACCTCTTTTACCAAACCGCATCACCCCTTTCATGGGCGAAACCTTCAGCAAGACTTGCTCACTCTCCATAAACTCCAAGTCTCTAACCTTTCGATCTGCATATTCCTTTTGCCTACTTTGCGCCGCTAAAAGCTTTTCTTGAATAGATTTCACTTTCTCTAATGAATCTCTCAAAAGGTCAATACCCCAAGGTCTAACCTCAAATGCATCAAACCACCCAATGGTAGACCTACATCTTCCCCCATACAGTGCCTCAAATGGGGCCATATCAATACTTGAGTGATAACTATTGTTGTATGAGAACTCTACTAAGGGTAAGAAGCTATCCCAATGACCACCAAATTCTATCACACACGCACGAAGCATATCCTCCAACACTTGAATCGTTCGCTCAGACTGACCATCGGTCTGAGGATGGAACGCAGTACTAAGGTCCAACCTAGTACCTAATTCAGCATGCAATGTTCTCCAAAACTTAAAAGTAAACTGCGTACCTCTATCTGATATGAAGGAGAGTGGAACTCCATGCAATCGAACGATTTCTGAGATATAGATTTTGGCTAACTTCTCTGCATTGTAGGTCACCTTGACCGGAATGAAGTGAGCAGACTTAGTTAACCTATCAACGATTATCCAAATGGAGTCATACTTACTCATTGTCTTTGGAAGACCAACCACAAAGTCCATTGCAATCCTTTCACACTTCCATTCAGGAATGGGCATTCTCTGAAGTGTTCCTCCGGGCCTCTCGTGTTCATATTTTACTTGCTGACAATTTGGACATTTGGCAATAAAATCAACAATGTCACGCTTCATTCTACTCCACCAAAAATGTTGCTTTAGGTCCCGATACATCTTGGTTGCACCAGGATGTATAGAGTACCTTGAACTCTGAGCCTCTGTCAGAATAGTGTTGATCAAATCATCAATGCGGGGTATACATACCCTTTTTCTTGATTCTCAAAACACCTTCCTCATCGATTTGTGTTTCCTTAGCCTCTTCTCGCAATACTTTATCTTGGATCCGGATCAGTTTCTCATTGGTAAACTGCTTTCCTTTAATCTTGTCAAGAAAAGAAGATCTTTCCTCCTCACAAGCCAACAATCCTCCCTTCTCATTTACTTCTAACCTCATAAAGTCGTTAGCCAGAGTCTGAACCTCTCTAGCCAATGGACTTCTAGAAACTTGCAAGTGAGCTAGACTTCCCATGCTCCCTTCCTTTCTACTTAAGGCGTCTGCCACAACATTAGCCTTTCCCGGATGATACAAGATAGTGATATCGTAGTCCTTCAGTAGTTCCATCCATCTCCTCTGTCTCAAATTTAAATCTTTTTTAGTAAAGACATACTGTAGGCAACGATGATCCGTGTATACTTCACACTTAACCTCATATCGATAGTGTCTCCATTGCTTTAAGGCAAACACTACCGCAGCCAATTCCAAATCATGGGTCGGATAATTACATTCGTGCACCTTTAATTGCCTTGAAGCATAAGTAATTACGTTCTTCTCTTGCATTAGCACTGCACCCAAACCCGAATAGGATGCATCACAATAGACAATGAAATTCTTACCTTCCACTGGCAGGATAAGGATTGGTTCAGTAGTCAACAAGGTCTTGAGTTTCTGAAAGCTTTCCTCACATTCGTCCGACCATACAAATGGAACATTCTACTTAGTCAAGTTCGTCAATTGGGAAGCAATGGAAGAGAATCCCTTGACAAATCGACGGTAATAGCTAGCTAAACCAACAAAGCTCCTTATTTCTGACA